TAATACGTGAAGCAAAAACTTTGTATACCTTTTTACGAAAATTGCGCGGACGGAGGAGTATGAAATTTTCCACACTTATAGAGAATATAGAGAAGAAGTGCACAATGCTAATATTTTTTGAAAACAATGCATAAAAGATACATTAAATCAATAAATAAAACATTATACACACTACATACCATGTATTTGACGCACACACGCATGCATACTATTTATTCACTAATTATATCAAACTTTTGTTCTTGGCGTCTGTTGTCAAATTGAGAATACATTAAATATTGTTTGCCTTTGTTAATATTTTTATAGTGTAGTCTTGACGAAATTTGTGATTATAGAAGTATAAAATACAATCATAATAGTGTACAAACTTACAATTCCAATTAATTATAGTCGAATTTCGACTACTGCGGGACCTCTAGTATTATTTGAAACGCTTCGAATTTTTTTACAGTTCTTTCATTGTCAGAATGATCTGTCGTTTGAAGCGTCGAGAACAATAGGATCAATATATAAAATTAAACAAAAAACGCGTCATTAAACGGTAATAATAGTAAATTACACGTAGAATTATAAGCTTGCTTTCATGTTTCGTTACGAACGAAATAGGTATCATTTTAATTTTGTTTTTTTATTGTTAAACTACACATTAAGTAAGGTTCAAGAACGAGTTCACGGCAGTACGTGAGAAATAAACGGATCTAAATTACAAGATTCAGGGAGGCCGTGAAATCAATAAAAAAAAATGTTCGACACAATGCTAATGATTATAATTCGGTTGTCTTGTCCAGCGACGGTAGGCGCTGTAGCTTTTTTTATTGCTTGGTAGGATGGACGATCTCACAGCCCACCTGGTGTTAAGTGGTTACTGAAGCCCATAGACATCTACAACGTAAATGTGCCACCCAGCTTGAGATATAAGTTCTAAGGTCTCAAGTATAGTTACAACGGCTGCTCCGCCCTTCAAACCGAAACGCATTACTGCTTCACGGCAGAAATAAGCGGGGTGGTGGTACCTACCCGAGCGGACTCACAAGAGGTCCTACCACCAGTAAAAAGTATTTGAACAGGATTTGAATAGTTTTGAGTTCCGTGGCGAAATAACGAACAATCTAGAATCTTTATCATTACGTTTCGTGCTCTAGATGAGAAGTGAATTACCAGAGGTTACATAGTCAATGCCCCCTCGACACATTAGGGCCGAAGCAGCTGCTCTCGAGATGTTATGTCTTCTTCGGAGGCGCTCGGGTAGCTGTTACCAATTTTTTTTCTTCTTTTTTTCCTACCTATGTTGATAGCCTTGAGAGGCTATTTCAGCAAATCCCACCCCTCCCCTTTTCAAGTCGTCGCGGCCTAAAGGATAAGATGTCCGGTGCGTTCGTATGTAGCGATGCACCGGTGTTCGAATCCCGCAGGTGGGTACCCATTTTTCCAATGAATTACGTACTTAACAAATGTTCACGATTGACTTCCACGGTGAAGGAATAACATCGTGTAATAAAAATCAAACCCGCAAAATTATAATTTGCCTAATCACTGGTGGTAGGACCTCTTGTGAGTCCGCATGGGCAGATACCACCACCCTGCCTATTTCCGCCGTGAAGCAGTAATGCGTTTCGGTTTGAAGGGTGGGGTAGCCGTTTTAACTATACTGAGACCTTAGAACTTATATCTCAAGGTGGGTGGCGTATTTACATTGTAGATGTCCATCGGCTCCAGAAATCACTTAACACCAGATGGGCTGTGAGCTCGTCCACCCATCTAAGCAATAAAAAAAAAATCGACATAATGACTTCAGTGCGCCGCGTAGGTCACCGGTGACCTACACGACAATCAACGTGTTAAGTAAGATTGAAATACGAACTCAATTCTAATCTACTGTCGGCTTTGATTAACAAACAAAACTAGTTTAATTCTCAAAAGACCACATATCATAAATCACACAATTTATTTTTCATATCAATTTGAGTAGTCATAAATTTAATCCGTCGTTAATTAATGTTGAATGTCGCACATTGGTTGGACTCGTCGAGCCCTTTGTCGCAAGCGACGGGTTCGACGAGGACGGTGACTGGCTTTTTAGTAATGACCTAGACTAGCACCATCCCGTCCCTTCGACTGGATGTCGTAAGTAGCTAAGAGATGTAAGGAATTTTTGGCTTTACAGTCGACCATTTAAAGTTTAAAATTCGGAAAAAATATTAATATGTTCAAAAAAACTTCTTCAGCTATTTGAATGGGATAAAAATAATCGAAGTTCAGTTGAAAACATCGAATTGTTGAAGCTAATATCAAATAAAATGGTCCTTTATTTACAAATATAGTAAATGTGATTTAAATTTTTTTCTTTCATGGTTGGACGAGCTCACAGCCCGCCTGGTGTTAAGTGGTTACTGGAGCCCATAGACATCTACAACGTAAATATCGCCACCCACCTATAAGTTCTAAAGTCTCAGTATAGTTACAATGGCTGCTCCATCCGTCAAAGCGAAACGCATTACTGCTTCACGGCAGAAATAGGTTGGGTACCTACCCGTGCGGACTCACAAGAGGTCCTACCACCAGTAATTACGAAATTATAATTTTGCAGGTTTGATTTTGGTTACACGATCTTATTCCTGGACCGTAGAAGTCAATCGTGAACATTTGTTGAGTAAATAGTTGAGTAATAACAATTTTCTTTCTACTCTCGTTATATTGTTTTTTTCTCATACTCAAACATACAAATAATTAATTATTATTCGTTCGATTAATACCTACTATTTTTGCGGTGCTTTCTATAAACAATCCACAGCTATATTGTGTACGTGTGCTAATTATGTTAGGTATGCGTTTCGATTCTGAGCTTTCCTTCTGAGCTTTGCGTTGGCAATAAGCTGCGAATAAGTTTACCTCGGAAAAACAAAACGTATACACGACATAAAAAAAGTTCCAAGTCAGAGACATCATCGTGGTCACGGTCAGTGTCATTTGTAGAAATTTTAGGAATGTTTTTTTTTATTGCTTAGATGTGTGGACGAGCTCACAGCCCACCTGGTGTTAAGTGGTTACTGGAGCTCATAGACATCTACGACGTAAATGCGCCACCCACCTCGAGATATAAGTTCAAGTAAAGTTACGACGGCTGCCCCGCCCTTCAAACCGAAACTCATTACTGCTTCACGGCAGAAATAGGCAGGGCGGTGGTACCTACCCGTGCGGACTCACAAGAGGTCCTACCACCAGTGATTACGCAAATTATAATTTCCACATCCATGGTAACACTAAAGAGCTTTAAGGATTACATTGACACTACCCAAACCTGTTACCTGCTCATGTGTTTTTTATTGACCGCTGTGAATGCTTCTAATAAATCAAAATACAAAACGTTTAATGTTACAGACAGGTTACAGATTGTTTGTAGATAAACATGTTATCAGATTTTTTTTATTTTTTTATTTAGTTGGGCGGACGTGCTGACGGTCTACGAGTTTCTTAACATTCTCGATATCGTAAAAGTTAACTCAAATTTGTATGGAGTTGGAACGTTTGCCTACGTTTGCCGCTAGGGGCGTTGTTCCGAGTGCATACAAATATGAGTTAACTTTGACGCTATCGAGAACGTTAAAAAACTCGCACTAAGTACACTGGCGTTAAGTGGTTATCGGAGCACGTAGAGATTAACAGCGTAAATGCCACTCACTATCCAATTTTTCTACGTACTTAACAAATGTTCACGATTGACTTCCACGGTGAAGGAATAACATCGTGTAATAAAAATTAAACCCGCAAAATTTGTAATTTGCGTAATCACTGGTGGTAGGACCTCTTGGGAGTCCGCACGGGTAGGTACCTCCGCCCTGTCTATTTCCGCCGTGAAGCAGTAAAGCGTTTCGGTTTGAAGGGTAGGGTAGCCGTTGTAACTATACTGAGACCTTAGAACTTATATCTCAAGGTGTGGGGCGCATTTACGTTGTAAATGTCTATGGGCTCCAGTAACCACTTAACACCAGGTGGGCTGTGAGCTCGTCCGCACATCTCAGCAATAAAAAAAAAATCAACTTGGTACGCGATTTCTGAGTCTCAGTTTTTTCCAGTACCACGGTTCTAACGACAATGATAAGTTTAAAGCAACACAGTTTTGTTTAATTCACATTCGAATATTTTTTTGTGTTGTCAAATTGATGTCCGGGGAACCGTGATTAATTAGTTCTCGGACATTTTGATTTGCTTAGATGCTAACTAATTTGTTATTTTATTAGTTTGATGCACAAACGATTTTATCGTAAAAAAAGTGTAATTAAACAATTTATGAAGATACCAAAAACAAATTCTGATTTAAAAAAAAAACTGGTTTTCCCGGTCGGTACATTTATATGTATATAAAAAAAAAAACTTGTGATATTCTGTTAATTAACACTTGCGAAAATATCGTAAATCATTTTTTAACTTTGAAACGTAGCTCGTAATGTTCTTTTTTAATTTATTTGCGTGACGTAAATCGAATTACTCAAAGTGGGCCCGCCGGAAATAACATAGCGGTCATTAAAAGCACGAGGTTAAATCGTAAAAAAACTTTTAACTCGTTCTTCTATAATCGATTCCGTGTGGATCGGGCCTCGGGGAAACCCCTCTGCCCAGGCTTGGAACTCCCTATCGAGGCCGGGGGCATGGGCCTATCGAGGCAGGGGTGATGCTGATCTTCTTCTTTTTCTCCACCTTATCCCACTAGGTGAGGTCAGCACAGCTAATTTTTCTCTTCTATCAGCCGTCATCTCAACACTCACTCCTCTTTCTCTCATATCGTCATTCACACACTCCATCCATGTCTTCTTCGGTCGACCTCTTCCCCCTCTACCTTGCACTACCATTTCTATACATCTCCTAATCATATAGGTACAGTCCTAGTCCTAGTCATACATCCCTAGCAGGGGTGATGCTGATAACGCAGAAAAAAATACTAGTTTGGGCAATGGGCATCAAATTAAAATCCATTGTTTTCTTATGGCTTCATATTTCCACAGTTGTTGGTGATGAAAGAAGGTTCGTTTCTTTACACGATGTGGGAGGCGCCACCGTACCAGGTCTACTCCGAGATCCACCTCTTCAACTACACAAACGTCGAGGAGTACATTAGCGGAGCTGCTGATAAGTTGAAAGTGCAAGAAGTCGGACCTTTCAGATTTCTGTGAGTTTCGTAACTTGAAATTTTTCGAGGTAGCGAGAGATTATCGAATAATCAGTAGTAGCTTAGCTTAAACAGACTCTTAGGTGTGAATCGCGAATCAGCAGTAGACATAGCTCGTGGTACTCAAACAGTGGTGGGGTGTCACGCAATGCAAGCAAGCACGGGTGGGTACCCTGCTTACAGCCCTGCTTATTTTTTTGATTTTTTTTTATTGCTTTGTGGGCAGAGGAGCATACGGCCCACCTGATGGTAAGTGGTCGCCGTCGCTTATGAACGTCAGCAATGCCAGGGGCAAAGCCAAGCCGTTGCCTACCAAGCGCCTTATTTCTGACGTGAGTAGTAATGCGTTCCAGTTTGAAGCTAGAGCCGAAGTTATACTGTAAAAACTGAGACTCAGAAGTCGTGCCTCAAGATGGGCTGAGCGGCATCAACGTGTTTGATGTCTATGAGCTCCAGTGAACACTCAACACCATGTTTAACATCTTAGCAATAAAAAAAGTGTTTACCAATAAACCTAGTATGTCTTTTGTACTTGAAGCATAAAGTAACTGACCTAGCTGAGAGCCAGTTAACGATAGGTTAGGTAGCGGCTTGGCTCTGCCCCTGGCATTGCTGAAGTCCATGGGCGACGGTAACCACTCACCACCAGGAGGACCTGCGAGCACACGTCTGTCTTGCCTACAAAGGCATTAAAAAAGAACCGGGTAACAAATGTCGCCACTCTTTTAAATTCTATCGGGGCGTCGCGTCCCTTTACAGGGGCGCGGGACAGGCCTCGTGGAAACCCCTCTGCCCGGGCTTGTGACTCCTTGCCTATTGAGGCCGGGGTGATGAGCTGCGGGATTGAGTCGGTTGGGTCTGAGTTGATGGTGGGTGGAATTCTTCTTCTTCCTTCTTCTCTTCATTCTTCCTTCTTGTCTTCTTTCTACCTCTTCTTTCTTCGTCGGGGGCGGCTGCTTCTCTCCTCCGTTTTTTTTTTTTTTTTTTTTTTTTTCTTCTTTTCTCTTTTAAATTCGCAATTGTCCCTTTGAACCAGAGTTGTATTATACCTATATTCATATTATTCTTCTGCTATTACTAACAAACTATTCTGTACATACTAAATAAGGCCCTGTGTAATAATAATGTACTAGACATATCACGATTTATAAAATAATATTGTTTTGTAATAGCGTTTCAATGCAAAGACGTTTTTTGTTTTAAAATTTCGTGTTTCGCGCAAGCTTCGATTGCAGTTTAAAAAAAAAACAGAAGATAATTTCACGACTGTCAGTATTCACACGTCTATCATACACGTGATTCTATTCAATCTATATGTTAGTTTAATCAGAGGTCAAAGCAATTAATTATCGAAACCGTTTAATCAAATGAACATTAATGAATGCAGTTAATACGTAAATTTAATAGCGCATTTAACGTGTACGAGGAGTATGCATGAATTTTAAAAACTTATTTGTTTATTGCGTGCAAAAAATCTGCAAAGAAGTTTTTTTATTTTATTTTTTATTGCTTAGATGGTTGGACGGAGCTCACAGCCCACCTGGTGTTAAGTGGTTACTGGAGCCCATAGACATCTACAACGTAAATGCGCCACCCACCTTGAGATATAAGTTCGAAGGTCTCAAGTATAGTTACAACGGCTGCCCCATCCTTCAAACCGAAACGCATTACTGCTTCACGGCAGAAATAGGCAGGGTGGTGGTACCTATCCGCGCGGACTCACAATAGGTCCTACCACCAGTAGGTAGGTATCTATCTCTTAGATACCTACCTACTGGTATACTAGAATTAGACTTTTAATTATTTTTTTGTTTAAATACGTGGGCGAGCTCATGGCTCAGTTGGTGTGAAGTAGTTACTGGTGTCTATAGGCATCAACAAATTAAATGCTGCTACTCACCTAAAGACATGAGTTCTAAATCTCAGTTTTTGAAGTTATACTTCTTTAGGCGCGTTATGAAAAATTGATGAGAGTGAAATTTTACAATGCGCGCGCACCGTGACACAAAAATAACAGAATGAAGTTGCCCACTAAATTGCTCATTACAATACGACCGACGTAACTTGGAGAGTCTGAGTATAGCCGCAGGTGAACTTTCCGAACCGTACCGAGAATTACCGAATTTATACGATGTCAAGAAAAGGGATGTCCAATATGCGTGTTTGAGGATGTTGTTTAATCGATTTTTTTCAAATTGATTAAAATTTAAATAAAAAAAAAGAATTAATTTAATAAAAATAAAGTATAACTTCTTACGCGCGTACATACGTACACGCACCCTTTTTTTAGTACAACGGCTGCCCCACGCTTCAAACCGAAACGTATTACTGCTCCACGACAGAAATAGGCAGGGCGGTGGTGCCTAATTCTGTGAGCTCACGAGACCACCTACCACCAGATTCGAACGTGAGATGTTATACAATCAACGCTCCCAACTTAGTAGCGTAACATGTTGCGAAAGAAAGACACTAGCAAATATATACAAGCAATACTACAGATTGAACAACAAAAACTTTGCCCACTGAGTTTCTCGCCGGATCTTCTCAGTGGGTCGCGTTTCCGATCCGGTGGTAGATTCCGCAAAGCACTGCTCTTACTAGGGCCAGTGTTAGCAACACTCCGGTTAGAGCCCCGTGAGCTCACCTACACGTCAAGGAGAAGCTGAAATAGCCTCTCAAGGCTATCAGCATAAGTACGCAAAAAAATAACTTTGGGCGGAGTTAAGCCAAAAATATACTTTTAAAAACTAGATTTTAATAAACACAAAACCGGGCGCATTGAGACCCAGCGCATTAGGTGACGTCACTAACTTCGAACCGGTTTCTCGAGCTCAATGACATCGATCGTGATGTCTGCGTTCCTTTAACTTAATAGCAGGCGGCCCGTGAACTTGTTTGCCCATCTAAAGCAGTACATGAAATATAATATAGCCTTCGTTGACATGTTTTTTTTTTTTTTATAACAACTAAGAGGCAAACGAGCAAGACGGGTCACCTGATGGTAAGTGATTCACCGCCGCCCACGGTCACCAGCGTTTACGTCAGTGCGTTGCCTACCCTTCATGTAAGAATATGCTCTTTTCTTGAATAACCCAATGTCGCAGTTGTTGGGGAAGTCTGACGATGGAACTGACCACAGTCACGGGTATTCGTATTATGAAACTCATTTTATTTGACTTATAATCCGGCCGCTTAGAGGTTTAACACCAAAGCGTAAAGGCTACCAGATATATCCCAACTTTGACATAATGATTTGGTTCGCGATTTTTTTTCGTACCTATGGCTAAGCGAAACATGTAGGTGAGCTCACGGGGCTCAAACCGGGAGTGTTGCTAACACTGGCCCTAGCAATGGCAGTGCTTTGCAGAATCTACCACCGGATCGGAAACGCGACCCACTGAGAAGATCCGGCGAGAAACTCATTGGGCTGTGTCTATGGGTTAATTCGCTTGTCGAGCCCTTCGTCGCAAGCGACGGGTTCGCCGAGGACGGTGACCGGTGCGTGTAGTACCTAAAAGCACTGTTAATGGATCGGGAAGTTCGCGATAATAATTAGCATTCATTCGTGGGTAAATGAACTACATATTTTTTTTAATCGCAAATTCTACGTCACTTCAAAGCCACGTGTAGGTCACGACCCAAACGGACCGCATGCTTTTAGCGACTGTAAAATAATTAGTAGTAACTTACATGGATTACTGGTGGTAGGCCCTCTTGTGAGTCCGCACGGGTCTTGTGGGTCGCAACGGTCAGTTAGTTCTTTTGTCGTCTATTTTATGTATATATTATAATAATATGAGAACGGTCAATTCGTTCCTTGTCTTTTTGTTCGTGTCCGTCTTAAAAAGTACTGCCTGCCGCTAGTCACGTCCGCCCTCGTTCCATTTCTCTCTTTATTTTTGAATTCTTTTCAAGTGTCTGTCTTAGCCTGTGTCTAGTCGTTGTAGGTCTTATGTCCTGTCAAAGAGGTTGCACGCCACGACAGGTAGGTACCACCACCCTACCTATTTGTGCCGTATAGCAGTAATGCGTTTCGATTTGAAGGATGGGGCAGCCGTTGTAACTATACTGAGAGCTTAGAACTTGCATCTCAATCCACCCACCTAAGCAATAATAAAAAAATCATAAAAACAGGAATCGTACGATATTTTTACCACTAAATCTATTTTATAATCTATTGTTGTTTTTCCCCCAGAGAAATCAGAACAAACGAAAACATAACAGTCGATGAGGGTAGAGGAGTGATGACCATGAAGCCGAAATTGGCTTTGAAGTTCCTCAGAGACCAGTCCGTGGGTGACCTGGAGAACATCACTATTGTTGCACCGAATATCGCACTACTGGTGAGTATATTGGCTTTGCCCTAACGGCCAGTGACCTTGGGATACATACCGGCGACCTTTCTCTTAACATGCGACATTAATTTTTGTAATTAAAGGTGCGTTTTATTTGGTATCAGCATCAACAGTTCGGTGTTTTTAATTGAACTTCAATTATGTTTAGTCCATAGTAGCTGAAGAAGTTGGTTTTGTTATGATATTTTTTCCGAAAATTTAAACTTTAAATGGCTCTCCTGTAAAATTGCAACAATGTCCCTTAAATTTTTCAGCCCCCGAATTGTTACGTCGATCCCAGAGCCATTCTTTACTAACTAAAAGCTATCAACTGCCTTGAAGCAAATGGTGCTAGTCACTTTAAGGTTGTCACCGGGCTGTTTATCATACTACACGAAAAGCTCTTGGTAGAAATAGCGGAGACGTGCGATCTTGCAGTGGTCATATATAGTTGGCAACCGCTGTAGCAGAAGCGAAAGGTGGCCGATGCTATTTAAGCATGCCGATACTGAGATAACCTTGATCTTACAATTAATAATCCAGACAAATCTGGTAGGTACCGATAATAAGAAGAAACTGGATCCAAGTTTTGAAAAAGCTTTTCTTTTCCAGGCCTTAAGTACGTTGGCGGCCGACAAATTGGCGTACTGGGGCAACGTGGGAGCTTACTACTCTATAAAAGCCCTGGGAGTTAATTTGTTCAGGAATTTGACGGCCAATGAAGTCCTCTGGGGCTATTACGACCCGCTGGTCTCCATAGCCAACACATTACTGCCTGGCTGGATTGATTTTTCTAAGCTTGGGATATTAGATCGGGTATGAATTTCCTTTTGGTATCTTCCTTGTTTCTAAGATCGAATATCATCGAAGTTAGGACATCAAAATTTAAATATCGACCTATCTAGGATATCCTACAGTTCTTAACTGTTAAAGGCCTATCCTGATTGCTTCACAACAGAGAAAATGGAATGATGGTGCCTATCTCTAAAGATTCGCTAGGTGCTCTATGCTGGTTAGCAGGATAGTAATTTGTGAGTAAAGTGAGAAAATAAGGGAAGTTTTATTTATTTATTTTTGTTATATATAGCCCACCTGGTGTTAAGTGGTTACCGAGGCCCATAGACATCTACAGCGTGAATGTCGCCACCCACCTTGGGATATGAGTTCTAAGGTCTCAGTATAGTTACAACGGCTTTCCTATCCTTCAAACCGAAACGCACTACCGGCTTACCGTAGAAATAGGCAGGGTGGTGGTACCTACCCGTGCGGACTCACAAGAGGTCATATTTATGTGGAGTCACTGGAGGTCATACCACCAGTAATTTCGATCATATACTTACGGATTTTCTATCTCAAATGAAATGTCTTTTAGTCATATGTGACAAAAGGCGAAAGTCCCAGTTGCTTTAGAATAATTGAAGCATTTATTTATTTCTTACTTTTGTAATATAGCGGTCTGGTATTGTAAGCTCTGTATTTGCATTGAAAGTTGGATACCTTGAGTTGTACTTTTCCACGGACATACGAATCCATGTTAATAAAAAAATATCTTGATGGCGCTTGTCATTTTGTTCACGACACGCGTAATAAATAATGATCCTGCTTAAATATAATTGTATTTTTCTTTTTAAATAATATTTATGAACAAATCACGCACGGTCATCCGCCCCAATTTAGGACTCCCTATGTTACTGCTACCAGAGACGAACATACATATATACGTTTAAATATATAGGTGTTTTATTCTAAAGAGTGACATTACATTCTACAGCTGTAATAACATTTCATCTGAATACGTAAGCCGGTTGATGGTAAAATAAAACTATCATTGTTATGTGACACACTGTTGCATATGGCATTCTTTATATCTTTATAAGTGTTTTTTTTTATTGCTTAGAGTGGTGGATGAGCTCACAGCCTACCTGGTGTTAAGTGGTTACTGGAGCCCATAGACATCTACAACGTAAATGCGCCACCCACCTTGAGATATAAGTTCTAAGGTCTCAGTATAGTTACAAGGGCTGCCCCACCCTTCAAGCCGAAACGCATTACTGCTTCACGGCAGAAATCGGCGGGGTGGTGGTACCTACCCGTGCAGACTCACATGAGGTCCTACCACCAGTTAAAGACACCAGAAAAGCTTAATCGACTTCGAAAAAGGAGGAGGTTCTTGATTGAGTACTCAAAAAAAGTACGATTTTTATGTATTTCATCTCAGAGCTTTTTTCTAAGCAAAGCAATTGTGATTATTCTTTTATTTCTCCATTCCTTCTATTTGTCCAAGAGCGGGTAGTCCTAATGATGGTCTTTTTATATTTATAAAGTAGTTTTTGATTTTTCTCTATTAATTTCATGCACCTTGCTGCTGTTTATAATGTCTTTTCAAAATTTCCATTTAGTTTTACGCGGAGCGTGACGACCTGGTTGAAGTTGAATTAGGTGACGCAAGTCGGAAATACTCCATCAACAGCTGGAACGGATCTCCTGGATTATTAGAACAGGGCTTCACGGACTTGAATACCAGGTAGCTCCAAAATATAAGAAAATGTTCTACCGACTCTATAGTAGAGTCTATAGTATAGTATAGTATAGTATCTGTATTTTGTACCGTATGTTCCATGGGGTGTGCTCTGAGGAATTGTTTGAGATGATCCCCTCATTTCCTCTTTATTATCGCACCTCCCGCCATCGGAGCAGAGTTCATCCATATCATCTGGAACCGCTGCGTTCATCGATAGTGCGTTTCCAGAGGTCTTTTTTGCCACGCACCATCCGGCTATGGAATGAGCTCCCTTGTACGGTGTTTCCCGAGCGCTATGACATGTTCTTCTTTAAAAGAGGCTTGTGGAGAGTATTAAGCGGTAGGCAGCGGCTTGGCTCTGCCCCTGGCAATGCTCAAGTCCATGGGTGACGGTAACCACTCACCATCAGGTGGGCCGTATGCTCGTCTGCCTAAAAGGGCAATAAAAAAAATAGCATTATAGGAATCCTCAAAAAGCAGTGTGATCGCCTGTTTAATAGTGATTGTGAATAGGCAGACGAGACATCTTGAGTTGAATTGGGCAGGAGGCAGGAACAAGATGTAGGAACAGGGGCATAATTGAAGACATGAGTGGATGATGGGGTTAAGTACCATTTTTAAGATTTTAAAGTTTTTTAAAGTTTTTGAATGAAGGTGTTATGTGCCTATAAACCATATCAGATCTTAAAACTATAGGATTAAAGGCTATTTTTAGAAATTGCATGTGATGGAGGAATTATGTACGCGATAAAAGTACAATTAACAAAAGTTTGTTGCCGGTTTTCTCAAAATTAACAAATTGTACCATATCCCCTTCATCCACTCGTGTCTTCAATTATTCAGTCATCAAACCGAACCACGTCGTTGTTTAATGATATAGGCAATAGCTCTTAAGCAATGTTCACTTTTTAAGCTATTGCATAGCTTTTATCGCGGGCCTTGAGTGCGGCGACCAAATTCATGAAATTCCGTAACGAAAAAAACCTTACACCCCTCACTCCGCCTACCATGTAGCTCGCGTTCAACACATTCACACGTTGCGCTTGTGTAGTGTTTGTGAATAAGCGCATGGCGTGACTTCACACTGCATGCGCATCATGAAAAGTCTGCCCATCTCTCTCTCGCGCGGTCTAGCTTATGAGTGTGAAGGGGACAGTTAAGGTTTTGCATTTATTAATGTTTAATATAGCGCGGTCTTGTTTTATTATTGTTTTAATATTAAATTATCATTGTCTAATTATAATTGCATAAGTTGATAAAAAATGCTATGCAATAGCTTTACCGCGGCAGTTCCCGAGTGCCACACGTTTTTTAGACTTAGGACTAAACACACTATACTAATTTCCAGCTCACCATGCAACACTATCCAGGGTACATATGAAGGTTTGATGATAACTCCGAATCGTCCCACGGATAAGGATATCCCGGTCTTCAGAAAGCAAGGGTGCAGGATCTTCCCTTTTTCATTCCACAGCGAGTCTTCTGCTGAATACGGATTTAATGTTAGAAGGTAATCATTTGTCTAGTTTGATTTTCATATAGCATCAATTGCCTTTAGGCAACACGGTCATGAGCGTCACACGTCATTACGGATTCTTCCGATGTATTAACGGTGCTTTTAGGTACCACAAGCACCGGTCACCGTCGTCGTCGAACCCGTCGCCTGCGACGAAGGGCTCAACGAGCGAATTAACCCCTATGTGTGTGTCTATACACACCCCTTTTAGTTTCTCGCCGGATTTTCTCAGTGGGTCGTGGTCGCTTGGCTCTACCCCTGGCATTGCTGAAGTCCATGGGCGACGGTAACCACTCACCATCAGTTGGGCCGTATGCTCGTCTGCCTATAAGGGCAATAAATAAATAAAAAAACGGAAATTATAATGTTGTCGGTTTCATTTTTATTACACGATGTTATTCCTTCACCGTGGAAGTCAATCGGGAACATTCATTAAGTACGTATTTTATTAGAAAAATTGGTACCCACCTACGGGATTCGAACACATGCATCGCTACATACAAATGCACCGGACGTCTTATGCTTTAGGCCACGACGACTTTAATTAAATTATTATGAAAAAAAAAAAAATAGCGACTGATTCTACTAGCCCTGAAACCGAAACTCATGATCGGTCTCTTAAAATGCTGTACGACTGGAAAAAAATACTTTATAAACAATAATGTATAAGCTAATATAATTGTCAATTTTTCAGATACGAATTAAAGGATACAGCCTTCAACAGGTCGTCACCCTACGTCTGCAAATGCAAGTACAATTGTCTACCCGATGGCTTCGTGGATGTTAGCCGATGTTATTATGGTACGTAGTTTTAATCAATCAAATTTTAAAGATAGGACAACTGGAGTACTTTTTTTTTATTGCCCTGTAGGCAGACGAGCTTACGGCCCAACTGATGGTGAGTGGTTACCGTCACCCATAGACTTCAGCAATGCCAGGGCAGAGCCAAGCCGCTGCTTACCGTTTAATACTCTCCACAAGCCTAGCTTGAAGAAGGACAAGTCATAACGCTCGGGAAACACCGTGGAGCTCCCATTCTTACGCCGGATAGTACGTGGCAAAAAAGATCTCTGGAAGCGCACCGTGGATGAACGTAGTGGCTCCAGGTAGTATGGGTGAACTCTACTCCATGGCGGACGGTGCGATGGTAAAAACGAGAAGATGGTATCATCTCAAACAATTCCTCAGAGCCCTCAGCTCTGCATTGTTCAGCCTTCAAACTGGTGTCTCAAGTATGATACTTTCATGAGCGGCTGTAAGAGGATCCGGTACCCAATTAATTTCAGAGAGCCATGGGCTCTTGTGCCTAGTCACAAACCCCTATTGTAATTTTTTTTTTTGCCTACATTGGTGGACGAGCTCACAGCCCACCTAGTATTAAGTGGTTACGGGAGTCCATTCACATCTACAACGCAAATGCCACCACCCCTTCAAACCGAAACGCATTACTGCTTCGCGGCAGAAATAGGCAGGGTGATGGTACCTACCCGTGCGGACTCACAAGAGGTCCTGCGACCGGTAATTACGCAAATTATAATTTTGCGGGTTTGATTTTTATTACACGATGTTATTCCTTCACCCTGGAAGTCAATCGTGAACAGTTGTTGAGTACGTGTTTCATTAGAAAAATTGGTACCCGCCTGCGGGATTCGAACACCGTTGCATCGCTCAACACGCATGCACCGGACGTCTTATCCTTTAAGCCATGACGACTACCCCAATTGTAAATTGTTTTTCTGTCACAGGCTTTCCAATAGCGTTATCCAAGGCGCATCTATTAGACGTTGATCCTGCGATACAGTCCCATTTCGAAGGCATGAAGCCGGATCCAGCGAAACATACATCATTCATACACATAGAGCCTGTAAGTTGTATTGCGTTGTGATTAGATTCAGAGTCTGTTGAAAACCGCGCATCCCTTGTTATACCCTCGTGTGTGTTGTGCCCATATAAACTGGTTTCCAAATCTGAAAACACACGTTATCACGTAGTGCCGAACTTGCGATGCAAAGCGTGATAACAATGCGCCAAACAATTGAGCTATGAGTGCGTTAGTAAAGTTGAAAGTTTTTTACTGTCCACAGACTATAGGAGCTCCTTTGGCTGTAAGAACGACGCTCCAAGTGAACATAGCTGTGAGGATGTCAGAAGGGAATCCAATCACGAAACCTCTCCAAGATAAAGTGATGCCGCTGATGTTGCTCTCCTTGGTACGTTATGACCGTCAACAATTTGTATCATCGATTTTGCACGCGTAAACACTTTTCGGTTTATTTAATGTTCTTCACAGATTACTATCTTAGATAAGGTCGAAATCTCAATGGGACATATGACGACTGTTCTTGAAACCTGTAGATACGAATGGTTCGCATCACTGGTGGTAGGACCTCTTGTGAGTCCGGACGGGTAGGTACCACCACCCCGCCTATTTCTGCAGTGAAGCAGTAATGCGCTTCGTTTTGAAGGGTGGGGTAGCCATTGTAAGTATACTGAGACCTTAGAACTTTATATCAAGGTGGGTGGCGCATTTACATTGTAGATGTCTATAGGCTACAGTAACCACTTAACATCAGGTGGGCTGTGAGATCGTCTACCCATCTAAGCATTAAAAAAAGAAAAAGAAAAAAAAAACTATTTATATATCTTGTTCAATTTATGTTACAATTTTCCAAATATTACCATATTAATATAGGTATAAGATATACATAAAATTTAAGTAAAGTAATAACCTAAGGTTTTCTCAAGTTACACAATTTCAATATTTAAAAGTTCAACTTAGATTAGTTTAAGTTATCATCACTTCTGACGTTTTTTTTAATGAGCTTGATAACATGAGCCCATCTTTTAAAGGCGATTTGGATATGCTTCTAGTTTAGCTAGCTTCATCGATGCAATTAAGCAATCTTATTCCTCAAACCGACATTATTATGATAAAATTTTAAAGAGGTTAAAAAACAGATGCATATCCATAATATATGGTACAAAATATATATTTTTTAATTATTATACTTTTACTTCACAGTCCTGCGAAACCCCTCCGCCGAGCATCATCAAATTGTTGCGACTCAAGTTCGTCATAGGACCAGCCCTGCTCATCACGTTTATCGTCTTCCTCTTTGCAGCCGGAGTAGCTACCGGTATTTGGGGATTTTACCGCATCTTCAAACCCAAATACAAGCTGCTCACTCAGGAATTCAACAGAAAAACTATAGAGAAGAAAATCAGTATGGAAAGGAGAAAGAGCATTGAGAGAAGGCGAAAAAGTTTTGAAAGGAGAAAGAGTTCAATGTTAAATGTCGTGGAGAATTTAGGACTGGTTAAGGTTAAGGAGGATCTGGCTAAAGAGGCCGTCTCTTTGTTAGGTATGAGCGATAATGATGATTTGGTGTAGGTCGTTGAGTGATGGAAAATGACGGGTTCAAAATTCATGATGATCTAACTAAAGAAGGAGTTTCGTTGTTGGATGAAAGTAAGCCGATAATATAATCTGACTTAGTTTTAAGTGATTTAAAATGTGGTAGAATACTGTGTACAAGATCTATAGAGTAATGAATAGAGATAATTATAATATCTGGTGCTAGGCTATTGGACATTTAAGTAAATTGTTAAGAAGGGGTAGTAGACAGCTTGTATTCGAGAAAGTTTTAGTACGTATGTTTACGAACCAAAGTGTTAAATAGTATCATGTAGTTTTATTTGATCATCAGCTAGAAGTCAGATTCAGAGAAATGTTTATAATTGCAAGTAGGTATAATTGCAAAAATATTTAAATAGATGATACAATATGTGTCTTGCATATGAAAGAGGTGGTTATTATGAAACACTAGATATTTTTTATCTATATTAGATTAGAATTTCATAATGTAACTGTTTAATGTATGCAAAATTTATAATTAGTATTATATTTACGATCATCTTGTGTGTGGTGGGTGATGGGGTTAGGAAACGTACCCATACTACGTGACCCGTTTAAGTGTGCATGCAGTCTTAGGCAATAAAGACGAGTATGAACCAAATAAATTTTTTTTTCAATTTTTGCCTGTGAAATGATTAAAAATCATAATTATGAATTACTACGTGAAAACTAAAGGGGGAGAGGGGGGTCTTGGCATATACTACGAGTGATCACCGAGGGGAGGGGGAGGTCGAAAAAACTAAAAAAATAGGTCACGTAGTATGGGTACGTTCCCTTAGTGGACTGCTTGACCATCGGCTAAATGCCTAACATCTATATTCTAGTTGCCTATGCTATGGCAATCCAAGGCTATTAAACAAGTACAGTTTTCAACTATATCTGTTGGGTTTTTTTTAAAGACGATTTTGAAAGAAGAAGCTTTTCCAAACCGTTTACGTAGGAGATGTCTTTGACTTTTAACATTTGAAACAAATACAAAATAATGTACTAAGGATGGACAGATGAGGATAAAACTAAGAGGACCACTGCTGGACATAGGTATCCACCAAGGTTTACGATATCCTGCGCATGCAGCTCATTCCCTCGACACTCAGAAGGTCGTCAGTCCACCTTACACTGGCTAGATACTTACGCTACATCTTTCTGAACGCGCCATCAGCGCTATTCAGCAACTTTTAGGACTAACCTGCCGTGTGGTCTATTAGCAATGGGGACTAATTGTCACGTCAACTTCGCAACTTCGATCTCGGTTACTATAGTTCTCCTGCGAATCTTCTTATTCCTGATCTTAAATCGACACGTGCGAACCGAATTCGCATAGGTGGTCGAACAGTATTTCGATCCTTTACTTTTTAGGCGACAATCTTTTACAATCTCTTAGTGTTTTATAAGTATGATTATAAGGATGCGGATGTATTATATTGTTACGCGCTGGGGTTCGGGATAAGTAAAAGTTCCACCAAAGTACAACTTCAAACTGTGTTTAACACTTAGGACACTCACAGAACACTTTACAACTCGCAATTCACTTCTTCCGCTTCGCTTCAGGTGATCCGTTCGCTGTTTCGCTTCGAGCAAATTCGATTACTAGCTGACTTCGTGCCATCTCTGCAACGCTTTTATAGTCGATACGACATCCCTAGATTTATCGAGAACATTCTGGGCAAGTCGAGTAGCTTCGATGTGTGTTTCCGTTATCTGACAATAGATGGAGTTGTACTTTTCGAGCGTTCTCGATGTTAAGAGTTCCTTTGATATTCGTTTCTACTATTCGGCGATAGATCGCGTTACTCATACCGGCGCAACAATATATTCGATCACTAATTTTAGATAAATCATGTCCATTATATACGTGTAGTAGCAGCTCGTGAAGTTAATAATAATAGGTATCCGACTTTATGTCTTCGATGTCAGATAAATATTACCATTATAGTATTTCTTGTACGTATAAGGTGTATATTGTAAATAATAAGATAAGATTTGTAAATAGTTTATTATTAAATACATGAACTTATGTGGTTGTGAGGATTATATATTTAGATTTAGATTATATTTAGATTATATATTTATATGAGGATTATATTTTCGATGTGACTTGAATCGTTTTTATTTTTATACCAACTAAATTTCCTTGTTTGCTTACGATATATGCAAAGTAATATTTTGCTGTAATGAACCCCGAGCATCCAATATATCACGTAAGGCCTGCCAGTCTGCAGGGCTTCTCATCGCCTGCTAATTTCTAAGGTGAAACAGTAAATTGCTTCAATTTTGAAGGCGTTATAGATCACAATTAAAATTTACAGCTTTATGTTGTATCTCAGTTGTATTGCGCCTAGGTTTCGATAATTAGCCTTAACTTCAGTCAGGGCAAGAGTGTTTTGAGTTTAAATGTATTTGGGACTGGAAAAAGTATAAGCTTATTGACTCATTGCTTAGTTCGTTGATACACTTTTGAATTTTCTCACTGGCGAGAGTTTTATGCACTGATGGATCAACAATAATTACAAATTATCGTTTTTACACCGGCACCGTGTTTAATTTTTTACGGACACTTCGCTTGGGCGCTTGTAAACGCGTAGTTTTCTTGGAGCGTCAACAGATGGCGCGGATAGTGGATTCAACTTCGATCAACAATAGTAACTAGATAAAGGGACACGTACAAAATTTGGGGACGGCCCATTTCAGGCCCAAAGCGGACAATAGATTAGAGAAAAAATACTTAGTGCATTAATTTTGTCATAAATAAATATGCATTTACTTTCTTCCAAATAAGCGCCACTACAGTTTACAATAAGTAGTTTAAAAAAAGTAACTCTATTGATAAAAACAAGAATTTTATTTTTGCGGGAAAAATATTGCCAACTTCAAAACCTTTTACGTATTAAGTAAACATTTTAAGTATATAAAAAAACATATAAATAAATCATTTTAAATATTATCATTAATCAATCGATTTTAATCGATTTTAAGCACATAAAATAACATCAAAGACATACCCATTGGACTTTAACTTGTTACTATACTTGAGACCTTAGAACTTATATCTCAAGGTGGGTGGCGCATTTACGTTGTGGATGTTTGTGGGCTCCAGTAACCACTTAACACCAGGGTGGCTGTGAGATCGTCCACCCATCTAAGCAATAAAAAAAAACTTAACTTGTATTGTTATTTAAATATGTACAACTAAAACAAAAACATAAAAAATAAAATATAATGTGTACTCGTAAAAAAAAGATTAAGAAATAAATCCAATATCGGTTATTTAAAAAAATGATCGATATATGAATTTCATGTAATTATTTTTCTTTATACTGACAACACTGATTTTAATCTGACTGACTGACACTTCGCTTGCTGCTTGTGCTTGCGTTCAAAATGGATGTGTTTTGATTTTTCTTCGATTTATTTTGCTTTTATCAATAACGTTTCATACTACGGCTGAAAACCATTGTGTGAATTGTGGTTTTAACCTGACCGAGATTTAAAACCGTGTATATGCTCTCCTGTGCTATTTTTAGATGATTTACTAATTGTGTATGAAGATGAAGAAAATATAGAATAATATAGATATTTAAAGAAGTATGTGTGTTTTTTATACCCTAATAACTACAATTGGATAAAAATACATTAGGAACATCTTAAACATTAAAAAAAGAAAAGTTCTTGAGGTATTTATATAGAAAATTAACCTCAAAACGAGTTTTTTATTTTTATTATATTTTTTATAATAGTGGCGTCAATTTCAATATATTTTTTAGATATCTAATACATTTAAAAATTTGAATCAGTCCATTTTTATAGTAATATTTAATGTCCACCTTGGGCCTAGCACACTATGGAGAGTGGGCAATCCCCTTTAGAGCAAAAGCTGTCCGCGTGAATATACACATAAATAGCTATATTCGTTTACTAACAAACGGAGAAAAAAGTTTTGAAACAGTTTTAAGTTCAATATTAATATTATTTATTAGTTTAAAGTTTAAAATATAGTTTATACTTCATGTACTTACCGAAAGTAAGATACTCCGGCCGTTAAATTGCTTTTTCGGTCATTATTTTTGCAACTTTTGAATACACACTGCGGCATTGTGAGACGGGATAACATTGGCTGTGATTGAAGTGAACTCAACAAAATAAGAGCTCACATTTCAAGTGAGCTGTTATTTGACGAGACGGATTTTATGCACCGACCCGAAATCTAGTTACTATTGTTGATCGAAGGGATTCAAGAAGGAATAAGGAAAAGGAAGTCTCAACAAAGAGAACGACTCATGAAAAAGACACAGTGATTGGTTAAAGTAATCCGCTTGCCCCTGTTGTCGGTGATGGCTGCTGCGTCTATTTCTTAGAGGTATCTTGAGGTGGGCAGGAAAATGAATAAATGCGTTTACTCCTTCAAATACTAACTATATTGTTTTTAATTATTTTACAAATATAGGTAAATAAAAAAGAACTTCACATAATTAAATTACACTTCACAATAATGTCTTATTAAGAAACTTTAATAAATAATATTCACACTTAAGCTATCGGTTTATAAAAAAAAACATTAAGACAAATAAAAATCACAGTTGTTTTGAGTGCTAATCGTTCTGTAATATAATAATAATAACAATGTTTTCTAACAAATAATCACTAATATAAACAGCATCTATTCTCGTATAGCTATGGTGTTTTTATATACAAATAAATTAAGTATTTACAATTTAACTTTAGTAGGTACAGGTAATTCTCTTATAACGCGGTAGAAACATTTCTGCAAAGTCCCGTGTTGTGAGAAATCGTGTTATATGAGATAGAAGCCAGTATAAAAAAGCAGAGTATTTTTTATATTTATTTATGTACACACAAAAGGAAGGCATAGTGCAGAGTAATAGGAAAATTATGTACAAAGGCACTGCTTATTTCTTTAAGAAATCTCTTCCAGCAGACCTGCGAGAGGATTATGAGAATAATAATTAAAAGTGTTGAGT